AGATGTCTGTGGCCTTGTTTATTTTTCATTTCCGAACAAAGTATCTGGATGAGCAGACATCCACCAGACTCTATTTTCAATCTAAGGATGCCATGCCATGATGGAGCTCATTTTCCTGTGTTTGTTTCTTGTGCTGATCAGCAGTTTCATTCTGCTGTGAAGAGCACTGACTCACAGGGAGATGTTTCCACCCTTACAAAAAATACCAGGGTGCTCTGATACATAACACAGTATTAAAGAGTAAACATATTCATGTACTATATGCATGACACTACAACTGGAATGGTCCACATGCCATGGAATTATCAATGTACATGTCAAAACTTTATTTTCATGGTTATTTGTGAAAAAGTGTTTGCAGTTTTCCATATTTTGTTAGTCATTATTTTATTTTTTGTGTTTGATTTGCATTATGGGACCTCGACCTTTCTTCCAACAATTTTTAACCTTTAAAGTTTGAGGGTGCTTTCACACCTAGACTTTTGTTTTAAAACCGGTCTTGTTTGCCCAGTTAGTGGTTCCATTTGGCATATGTGAATCTAGCAATTGTGCTCGGATCCGCACCAAATCAATTGGTCAGTGATCGCCTGAATGAGTTGGTCTCGGCTCGATTGAAACAAACCCGGGAGCGGATCAATTGTAGTGAGAAAGTGATATGATCCGAGCCTGGCTATATCACAATGTATCATGGATATGTAATAGACATATATATGGCTATATGAAGAGAAAATTATGAGTAGGGCAATGTGCGTTTCATGTAAAATATAAAGGTGAAAGCATGCTGAACAAACAACCAGAGCTGTTTATCTGTTAGGAAAATTGACCAAATTGCAGTCTTAGTTTATCTGTTATTTCTCTCTGTAATATGTAGCCTATAATGCATAAGCCAACTGTTATGTATAAGAAAGTCCTACCTCTGATTTATACTTGGTGACAATGTCTGTGGGTGTCACCATTCAAAATGAAAGCGCAGCTTTTTGCTTATGATGTCTTTATTGCTCATCGTCATAAATTAGAATAAGGATGCATGACAGCTGAGCGGAACTCTGCAAAATAAATCCTGAAACTGAACAATGTGAGGAGACTTGTTTTTAACTCTTTTGGTCTGTTTAGAAACTTTGCCGTGTGAAAACGAAGCGCACCAAGAACAAAAAGCAACATTGTAACAATTTAAGTCACTGTTTCGGGACAACTGAAGTGTTGTATTTTAGAGTAGTGGACCCCAAACTTTTTATCACTGCAGACCAGTCAATACTTGACAATTTTACCCGGGGGTGGGGAGGGGATTGTACATAGATTGCTATGAGACCATCAACTGTTTTCTCAGAGGATGACAAGCTGACAAAACATTGCTGTAACTCTGATACAAGTTCTATTTATGAAGAAAATTAAAAAGCCCTGAGGGTTGTCTGAGATAAGTCTACCGAAATGTGTATATTCCAAACAAAATGTGAAGCTGACCGGTCAGTTCTTGTCACGTGACTCACAGTGCGCTTGTAGCATTCTGAGGATATTTTCAATTGGCTGAGTCTAGAAGGAGTGAGCGGGGACTACTGTTATAGAGTACTAAATAAACTGTCAGCACATTTTCTGTATTTTACAAACTTATTTTTCTATACATTACATTATTTCAAACTACTAAAATGTCAATAAAAGTGATTTTGTTAAACTGGAGTCAACATCAAAAGTTGACTCTACAGAGTCTACTGACTCGACAGAGCAGAGATCAACATCCTATAATGCAATTCACAAACCTGTCTGGGAGTTTCTACTGTGCCTATAAGACTGCAATTAGCTTTGTCAGATTGTTCCATTGAGATAAAAGCTAAAATATGCAGGACAGCAGCCCTGCAGAAGCATAAACGGATGCCCGGATATTTACTTATAAGATCTGAAGTGATTAATTATCTTTCACAACAATGTCAAGTAAAGTTTATTCATAAACTAATTTCGAGAGGATCATGTGCTTATGATTTATCACGGCCGGTCTCGCATTTGCATTTTCCAATCATATGAGCCCTAAGCTACTATAAATAGCCACAGTTTTCAGTTCACTTTATCTTCGTTTGGAGGAAACCCCCCTCCTCCTCTATTCTTCTCCTTTTCCTCCGATTGGGGGGCACGGTGGCCCAGTGGTTAGCACTGTGAGCCTCACAGCAAGAACACTACCAGCCCTGGTTCAACAGGACCGGTGGGTGTTTCTGTGAGGAGTTTGTATGTTCTCCCCGTGTCCGAGTGGGTTTTCCCCGGGTTCTCCGGTTTCCTCCCACCATCCAAAGACATTCAACATACATAACAATCAAGCATTTGTCTAACCCCTTGTGTTCCCTTAGCTAACGCAGCAGGGGAGTTCTGAGATCCACCGAGCTCAGGCTCCCCTCTCGCTCTGCCAACGGGAGGAAGCCTCGGGCTCGAGGAGCCCTTGAGCTCGAGGCTCTCTCCCGGGACAGCATGCCAAATAAGCTTTAATAAATCATCAGCTAAGTGTGAACTCTTGAAATAAGTATGCTCATGCCATAGTATCTGCTTTTAGCATATAGTTTGATTAGATTCTCAAGCAGCACTGACCCACACACAGAGGAATTGAATGACATCTGCAATAAAAATCAGACATAAACTCATCTTTTATCAACCACATTAAAGTTCATGTACTATACACTAGCTAGCTCAATGAGAGAAGCAGACTTTTACACATACACACTTCTGCCTGGTCTTCATTTTGGCCCTCTGTTGTACAGTAGTAGCAGTAAAAGCCACATTGTTTTATGTCCAAGCAAGATTGATTGTGTGTGTGTTTGTGTTAATTCCAGCATCCTGCATGGGGAGTTACTGTAGAGGATTCAATCCTATTTCTGTGTGCAGAAGTGGGGAATCTGCTTTGAGCGTTTATTATGGACTGTGGGGACAAACCCAGAGCCAAAAGCCAGACTGCGGCCTTTCATGAGTCTATGTAGGGATCTAGGCTAATGATTTCTGCAGACTTGGCAAAAGTTACCACCATGCAGATTTGTGTCAAGCTCGCTGTTTTTTACCCTCAATATGCTGCATCTCTGGAGACACATGTGCACGTTTAATACCTTAAAATTATGTATCTGAAGATCTGAACTTCTTGTTATTCTTATTAATGACTCCCAAGAGGACATACATTTATGCAGATTAGTAGGGCTGCACAAAACATGGGTGATGCGGTGTTGCAGTAGGTTGTGCTGTCGCCTCAAAGCAAGATGGTTGCTGGTTCGAGCCTTGGCAGAATCAGTTGGCATTTCTGTGTGGAGTTTGCATGTATTCCCTGTGTTCGCATGTGTTTCCTTTGGGTGCTCTGGTTTCCCCAACATGTTCAAAGACATGCAGTACAGGTGAACTGAATTGTCCGTAGTGTATGAGTGTGTGTGTGTGTGTGTGTGTGTGTGTGTGTGTGAGAGAGAGAAAGAGAGTGGGTGTTTCCCAGTGATTCGTTGCGGCTGGAAGAGCATTTTCTGTGTAAAACATATGCTGGATAAGTTGGCGGTTCATTGCGCTGTTGCGACAGCTGATTAATAAAAGGACTAAGCCGCAAAGAAAATGAATAAATGAACAAATAAAAAATTAATTAATTAATTAAAAAATATCGCAAAAACACTAAATATGGCAATATCAGTTTTCCAATATCATGCGGCCCTAATCAGTAGTGTAATTCTCTTCTGTTCAATAAATATACCATTGTTTCCTAATAACAGTACAGTACGCCTCCATTCAACACTGAATGCTAAATTTAAAACAACTCATGATGTCACATTTATTAAATGAATATAAACTAAATGCCATTTGCTTCTGTTTATATAAAGTCTTCTGAATAAACAACCAAAAAAACTGAAGCCGTCCACAGTCACTGCAAAAAAACAGCTGGAAGAAACAAGCAATGAGCATGGGGGTGCATGTTGTTACACTATGTGGAGTAAGCTGTCACAATGAAAGTTACAAGTAATTACGCTTCTGAGCTAACTGTAAACAGCAGCGCTTATTCCAGACAAAACAGTATATTTATTATATTATATATATTTATTATTATTATTATTTGTTTTTTATCTAATAATAATGACCATGTACAGCTGAAGTCAGACTTATTAGCCCCCCTGTATATTTATTTCCCCAATCTTGGTTTAACAGAAAGAAGTTTTTTCAACACATTTCTAAACATTTAATAACTAATTTCTAATAAATTATTTTTTTTATCTTTGCCATGATGACAGTTCATAATATTTGACTAGATTTTTTTTAAGACAGTCGCTTTTTTTTTTTTTTAATTGCAAAAATAAAAAACATTACAACAGTACAGCACAACAAATACGGATACAAAACTGAAAGAAGTATGGTACAATCAATAGGAATATAACTTTTTTTTTCAAGAGACTGGTATTCAGCTTAAAGTGACATTTAAAAGCTTAACTAGGTTAAATAGGCAAGTTAGGGTATAGGCAAGTCTATGGTTTGTTCTGTACACAATCAAAACCAAATATTGCTTAAGGAGGTGAATAATATTGACCTTAAAATGTTTTTTGTTGTTGCTTTTTTTAAATACGGCTTTTATTTTAGTCGAAATAAACAACTCACACCAGAAGAAAAAAATATTATAGAAAGTACTGTACAAATTCCTTGCTCTATTAAACATTAAAAAACACAGGAAGGATGATATTTTTGACATCAACTGTATAGCCTATGGTACAAATTATGTGTAAAATTACTTATGTAACAAACTTTTTTGTATAGTTGTTTCTATTTATGTGCGTATCAAATATACATTTTATTTATATATATATATATATATATATATATATATATATATATATATATATATATATATATATATATATATATAATACAAACACACGGATGCGATCATTTTGGACGCCCAGCACATATTACATCACGTCTTATTATTATTTAGATACAGTGTTTTGATAATTGCTCCAACTTCCCCTGAACTCAAAATGTGCATTTTCAAACCTTTAAGCGCCACCTACCAGATCCAAAGGCTTTGGCGATGAGCCACGTCAAACTGCAGGATATCTTGGCCCTGCTGAAGTCATAGTGATCCATAGATTTGATGGAGGGCACGATGAAGGTCCTCCTGCTCTCCTTGATCTCTGCGGCATCTCCCATCTTGACGTCCACGCGCGGCTGCATCATTTCCCGCGGGACTATGAGCTCAGAGACGACATTCCCATGCTCAAATATGATCTGGAAAATAACGGATCCGGTAACTCTCCTCTCAAACACTAATTAGGCTACACGAGTGGAAAAACGAACCCCCGAGCACAGGATTCAATATCCAAAAAGCAAATCCAGGCGACTGCGGTAACGTTAGTTCTCATCCGTTTCCCGGCATATTATCCTCAAGTTGGTGTCGATGCCAAAAATCAATATCTCATGTGTGACACGAGCGCCATGATGAGGGATGTCACGCTGAATGGCGAGGAGAGGCGATCGATGAGCTGACCGTTTGGTGTCATGATTTCTTCCGCTTCTTCAACTTTTGTTAACTGTCCTTCCTAAAATCTCTCCCTCTCCCTGCGGTCCGCCTGCCGCACTGGCCTGGAAAAAAAGGAGAGGGAATAGTGCGCATGCGCGAAACGCCCAGACGCAGACAAGCACTGCTGGCTGAGACAGATTCACACAGCTGTCAAATAAAATAAAACGACGTTCTGCACACCTCTCGTCTACTACACACACACACACACAATACGGTTCAATTAGTTGATGTTAGTTAACACAATTAGTAACACGAACAAACAATGAACAATACATTTACTACAGTTAACGTCATGTTAGTTAACGTTAGTTGATGAAAATACAGTTGTTCATGTGAACTCACGGTGCATTGAATGAGCATGAACGTGGATGCTAATCATGCAACAGTAAATAAATGGTGAACTATGATTAATAAATGCATTGTTCATCATTAGTTTGTTTGTAAATACATTAACTAATGAAACATAATTGTAAAGTGTGACCATGTATGTCGACAACATCTCTACCTATAGTTCTTTAAACATTATTACCTGTGCTGTGTTTAAAATATATATAATTTTAATGTTGCTAAATTATTTGGCTTTAACTTGCAGAAAGCGTTAAAGGGTTTGCTCACCCCAAAATGCAAATTATGCTATTAATTTCTTGCCCTCATGTCATTCCATGTCCTGAGACCTTTGTGCATCTTCGAAACACAAATTAAGATATTTTAGTTGAAATCTGAGAGCTCTCTTTTCCTCCATAGACAACAACATTCTCGACTTCACATCTTCAAAACAGATCATATTAATTTAATGGTTTAATCTGAATATGAAGAGTTCAGGTGCAAAAAAACTTTAAGTGCAACCTTCTGCAATTTCCATCAAAAATTTGCAGCCTCCTGTTTATGTTTGTATGTGATATTTCACTTTAAAGACAAAGAAAATGACTTATTCCTTGCCATAAAAGTGATATTACTGAACATACACACAGGAGCCTGATAAAAAAAAATAATTTTAGAGGAAAATTTTAGATGGCATTTAGAGGTTTTTGCACCTAAACTCCTCATATTATAATGCTACGAGAATATTTTTGTGTGCACATAAAACAGAAATCATGAACTATTTTTAATGAGGTGATACATTAGAGGTGTGCTTTCTTAAATGCACAATATACTGACATTGAGGAGAAGAAACAGTTATATTGTATATAAGAATATAATATGAATATTGTTTTGTATTGTCTGTTTTGATGGGGATTTTTAATATTTTTCTTGACGTAGAGCTTCTTGTGACCATAGGGAAGAGAGCTCTCAGATTTCACCTGAAAATTTTTTAATTTGTGTTCTGAAGATAATTAAAGGTTTCCGGAAATTGGAACAACACAAGGGTGAGGAATTAATACCTTACTTTTCATTTTTGCATGAAACATTCATTCAAACATTTGCACAATTAAATAATACTTTTTTTTTTTAACTCCAGTCAGTCTCAAATGTAATAAAAAAAAAGGTCAGATCCTGCACATTTATTTAAAACATTCATTCTTGACATACAAACATTTCCACAATTTGTGAAAATCATTTTAACAATAGTAACATCTAAATAAAGCGGAACAGATTTACAATCTATTACTTTGTTTAAATAGTTGGGTTAAAAATACTGCAACATATAACCCAACTATAGGTTATTATAGCACCTTCCTAACTATGTGTTATTTTTAACCCAATGCATTGGGTTATTTTGATTAAATGTTATTTTTTTCCATTCTGGTATTACTATTGCTACTATTACTGAATTACTATAACTATTACTATTATATTGAAAATGCTTTATTTCCATTTCATTTTAGTTCCAGAAACTTTTGTTAAAACAAATCAAGAATCACAATCAATGAATAACAAAGGGGAGACAGTTATAAACTGTGCAAGCAGAAAATCATGTGCAGAATATGGAGCTCTGTTTGCTGTAGAGGCTGTTCAGCAGCTGCAGAAGGCTTCACTCAGTGTCCACAATGTACAATACATTTTAACAACATCCAAACGCATTAAAACGCTTCTAAAAGATGATCTCGGATGGTAAAACAGATATAAAAACCACGACGCAGAGGTCAATTGTTAAAAATAACAACAAAATTGCACAAAACACAAAAACAACATTATGCACGTTTAATACAGCTGTTTTGTGTCAGTTAAATCAGTTGTTGAAATTCAAATTTTTAACCCAACTGATGGAATTATTAAATAAATACCCAAAATAAAGGTTAAAAATAACCCAACAAAGCACCAAATATTTAACTCAACTGGTTGAGTTATTAATAAATAACCTAATAAAGGTTAAAAAAAACAACAACAACAAAGCACCAAATATTTAATTCAACTGGTTGAGTTATTAATAAATACCTAATAAAGGTTAAAAATAACCCAACAAAGCACCAAATATGTTTAACTCAAGCATTGGGTTAAATAAATAACTCATTGTTTTTTAGAGTGTATGTTACTTGCTGTACTGTTACTGTGGTGATATTATTTACCTCTTCTTTAAAGTGGTTTAAATTTAATTGTTTACTCATTTGTTCTACTAATACTAGCAGTGAATGTTATAAATTTGGTGTTTCTCAGTGATTCTGTTCACCCATATTCACTCTGATTTTAGCTTAAACCTTCATTCTTGAATCACACAAACACTCACTCGCTTTCTTTCTACTTGCTCCTTTCTATATCAGGGGAATGATCCGCCTCATGCAAACATATTTCACAATTTTTACAACTATTGTCAAAACTGTACAAGTTCTAGTTCAATTAATCAGAGATTTAATGTATTATTTATATTTCTCTTTTTTTTAAATAATCATATTGTACACTAGCATTAAGCCACTTGTTGCCATCATTTACAGCATTTGTGGTATAAAAATAACAACAAAAAACATATCATGCTTTCAGTCATGATTATATTCATTAATAGACAACACAACACCTGATAAATAATTGATCAACTTCAGAAAGGTGGAATATATGCTTAAATAACCTTGATTTTTGATCACAAAGCATTTTATGGAAACAAAAATGTCAGTATTGATACATATTAAGCCAACTATTTATAGCCTATGTCAGGGGTCTCCAAACTCAGTCCTGGAGGGCCGGCGTCCTGCTGAGTTAAGCTACAACTTGCTTTAACACACCTGCCAGGAAATGTCAAGTACAGTATATCTGAGCTTGATTAGCTGGTTCAGGTGTATTTGATTAGGGTTAGAGCTAAACTCTCTAGGACACCCCTTGGCCTATGCGATAAGCATGCTTTTGTTTGAGTTTAAAAGAGAAGGCAGAATGAAATAGTATTTAAAAAATCCTATGATGACTAATAATTTGGGTTGTTTAAAAATAAAAAAAGTCATAAGCATTGACATTGATAACATGGAGTCTTAACTTTGACATTTAAATAAAGTAGAGTTTTTTTTTTTTTATCTGTGCAATGGTGATGCAGGTTGTGTGTGTTAGCAGGAGTCATAAATCTTTCTCTTCCTCAGACAGGAAGGGGTGTGACCTCTGACTATCAGCTCTGGAGAATAGCTGTAATTATTGCCTTCAACCACATACACAAGCCTTTCATCACACAAACACACGCTCACACAAGCTTTTTATGTGTGAGAGAGCAAGCCCGTTTTAAAGCAGAGAGAGAGAGAGAGAAAGAGAGAGAGAGAGAGAGAGAGAGAGAGAGAGAGAGAGAGAGAGTTTTCCACCCAGATGTGACTGAATCTCTCCTGCTAAATTTAGCCATATTGGCTGCTGTTACTCACTGCTCAAGCTTCTGACCCAGCTGAATGACATCACGCCCGTCAGCTCTTTATGTGCGTTGAATCATGACGATTTTGTCCAAAAATAGTAATTTACTAATTCATTATTTCAGTTTCCAATGGTCACCTGTTTGCGTCTTTCCATTTCACAAAATCTGGGCCAACTGTACTGTCCACACAGAGAAATGTTGTGAGATGTCGCCATCCAGCGGACACCGGAAAACAACCTGCTGCAGTTGGATTGAGGGATTTCGCTCATAATTTAACCCTTGTGCACTGTTTAAATTTACTACCCTTTTGTTATTTTCAGGATAACAACATCCACTGAATTAAACTGCTGTAATTATGCATCAGATAAATAAATATTATATATATATATATATATATATATATATATATATATATATATATATATATATATATATATATATATATATATAACATATATATATATATATGAATATATATAATATCAGTCCCGATCAAAAGTACTAAATTGTTTGGAAAATTATATAATTTTAACTCTTTAATTGGCAAATTCACAAATAATTTCACTGATTTGGTGAAAAGAAATCACACAAAATGACGTATTTTCAATATAAAAAGTCATTGTGGACTGAATTTTTAAAAACTTTAAACAGAGTCTTGGACATGTCAACAATTAGTAACAACATTGGCTTTAATGCATTGTTGGATTTACATTTTTTTTCTCCCTGATTTACTGTTGGTGGCTGTTTTTGCCCTGTTGACTTACATTATAATCACCTTTGATGGTGCATAAATACACAGTCTTTATTTTTATTATTCCAACAGTAAAAACTGACAAATTTGACCTCTTTCAGGGAAAACCACCAACAATCAAAAACGCATGATCATATGGTGTCATGGTTTTGTAATAAAAAAGATGTGTAATTAATGAAAGTCATCAGGGCAAAAACAGCCACCAACAGTAAGTTAGGGAGAATAAAATAAAAATGAATTTAAAAAAAAACAATGCATCAAAGGCAATTATGTTACACAGGTCCAAGACTTTGATAAAAGATTTTTTAAAATAATGATAATAATTTATGAGTTTATGATTTGCTGGATCAGTTGGTGGTTCATTCTGCTGTGGCGACCCCAGGTTTATAAGGGGACTAAGCCGAAAAGAAAATGAATGAATGAAATTTCTGAATTTGGCAATTAAAGAGTTAAAATCCTATAATTTTCTCAACAATTTAATAGTTTTGATTAGGACTGAGGTTTATTATTAACAGATTAATGCAAAAAAAAAATGTATCTGATGCATATTTACAGCAGTTTAATTCAGTGGATGTTTTCGTTTTCATCCCGAACATAA